GAAATAAAAAAAGTGCCCAAAATATTACAAACCAAAGTAAAAATTGTTCCCAATAGCAAATAAAATAAGAGTTTCATCAACATATAAAGGCTGCAAGGTAAAACAGGTTAGGAAGCAATGCTCTGGTCATCATCAACAGCAAGATCCTCCAGCTTCTTGCTAATTTGAGACACTATGTCCTTGACAATGGACTGTCTCCCTTGATCAGTGCTCATGACCAGCTTCTTGACATCAGCATCCAGAGTGAGCACACTCTTCTTTAATTCCTCCATCTTAAACTTTGACTGCTCTTGCTCTTTCAACAACTTAAGAAGCGTATCCTTCAGCTCCTTCACATCTTCGCTGGGAACCTTTGGAGGGGAACTGAACACTGCAAAACCTGTTCATGCAGATGCATATTTCCCGAAATAGGAGAGCTAGTGATTTTCTGCAAATCATCCTGCACCCCAGTGATATCAATGCAGATAGGTGCAGGGGTCCCCTTTTTCTTCATCAACCTCAAACTTTTCCTCTTCTTCCTTCCCCCTATTTCAATGACCTCTTCAACCATCTTTTCCTCTTCTTCTTCCTGCTCCACAACTTCCTTCACAATTCCCTCAACTAACTTTGTTGCCTTCTCTCCTTCCCCCTCAGATGGAGCACCTACTTCCTTTGGCCTTCTCTCCTTTTCCTCCTGCACAACTTCAAAACATCCATCCACAACCTTCATCTTATGGTTTTCAAGAAAAATAGGCTGCATGTATTCGGTGTTTTTGAGGGGCAGGGGTTCTTTATTAGTAAAGGAGATACCAAACCTTTCAAACACATAGGTAAGTAGATTTCCATGTCCCACCTTCCATCCCTTTGGAACACAGTGGGAAAGATGTTGGATCATGAAGGAGGGAAAATTGATTTGAATCATTTTGGCTAGGCAATAGATTAGGACTGAATCAAGCTTGTTGGAACTGTCTCTCTTTTGAGAGCGAGGGATAGGAATGGCAACGGATCGGACTCGGGTCGGATGTGGATAAATCCGAGTCCGATCCATTTAGTAAACGGACCCTGGACTCGGATCCGAATCCGAGTCCAAATCCGATCCGACTCGTAATTTTCGGATCCGAATCCGGTCCGTTTATTCGGACCTCCGAAATGGTCCGAATATTTTTTTTTTTTTTTGTAATGTCATATACCTATAATTGCTTGTATTTTCATACCAATCAAAGTATAAACATAACATATTTAAATTATAAACTAAGTTACGTAACAAAATTTTGCTACAAAACAAACAAATAATTGTTCCAAGTTATATAGCATATGCTTATACTCTCGGATTCGGACTCGGATCGGACTCCGTCAGAATTTGCGTAGGGTCCAAGTCCGATCCACCTTCTATTTCGATTCGGATCTATTTTATCGGATTCAGATTAATTTTAAACGGATTCTTATCGAATTTTTTCCTTTGGATCGGATCAAATTCGAATCGAACTCGGATTAAATTGCCATCCCTAGCGAGGGATTATGTCATCGAAGACAATTCTCAACAGGATTTTGTTAAGAGGGGTTAGTTCATTGTGGTTTATATAGGTTTCCTCAGGGTCACCTCCTAAAAACTCCACTATTTCATCAATATTAGCATCAGGAAGAGGGTTCCTTATCACATTGCTCTTAAAATACAGATCATAACTAGTATTAGGAACATCAAACAACTCAGCCAAATACATCGCATCAAACTCAATTTCCTTTCCATACACACAGCAACGAATAGTACCTTTAGAGTACTTGAAGCTTTTGCAAAAATCCTTCATAGCATCAACATACAAACTCCGATTGAAAAATTCACTCAACAAATTCACCCAATTTTGAGACTCAATTAAATTAAGCAATTCATGAAGCTTAACAGATCTACACCGAGGTAAATTAAGTGCCAAACCTGTCACAAAGTGGTCACCAATTTTCTCCTGCCTTTTCATAGCTGCTGGCTTATCCCGGTAATTGACCCTTAGTTCCGTAACACTTTCTTCTTTGTCTTGCATGTCATCAGACTTCCTTTTGCGAGAAGACTGAGATTTGGTAGTTGATTCAACTTTTGGTGGCTCTCAGACTTCGGAGGGAGTGTTTTCAGGTAGAATTTCCATGGTGATGTCTAGGATAGGGTTTGTGTTTATATCAGCTTCAATTTGGGTTTTTGGAGAGGTAGACATTGGAGAGTAGTTTTGATCGGAGTGATGAGAGAGAAGGTAATTTTTGTGTGGTGTAAATTTTTGTGAGGTTGACATCTTTTATGGTGTAGATAAATTGGTGAAGTGAGGTGTCGTTTGGGAGGTGAGGTGAATTAAGTTGATTTGACACTCATATTTATTTCTTAGGGAAACGCAAACCGTGTTTTAAGAGAGTAATGTGAGTGGGCTACTTTTGAGCAAAAGATAATGATGAATATTAGATGCATTCATTCGAATTTTGTGTATAGATAAAAAGAATTTGGAACTTTGAAAAATAGATAAACACAATTTTATCTCTTGAATTTAACAGTAAAACAGTAAAAATACTTCTTCAAAATCATCCAACCACATTTTAGGGATCATCAACCCTAATTTAAAATACTGCAGGTCTTTACTTCTAAGACCAAAATTCATCCAAAAATCCTTCAAAAGAGTTTAACTTCAAAATTCTTCAAAGTATACAAAATCATTTATAAATCATAACAAGGTGTCACTCTTATTGTCTGGATTTGGGTACGAAGCTAATTATAACAAAATAACACAATACACTCCGTACACAACCCTTGGCGGAGCGGTGCTAAAAACAGTGTTATTCTACTTTAAAGCGCAACGACGTCGACGACTTACTTGACACTTTAAAACCATTTTTTTAAAAAAAAACTCTATAAACACTCACAATTTTAGTTAACATTTTCTACCTGTTCATAGTATCACTGTACCAATTCATGAAAATAGATAATGATTACCCCAACTTATCAATAATAGATAAAACTAATTTAAATTAAATTACTCAAGGTACTATACAGTTTAAACACCTCACTGAACTAACTAAGCATGAACATTTCTTTAAACAACTTAGAGTAGTACCAATAATATACGCCTAACACCAAACATGAACCATCATTATTTATGCTCAATCAAAATTCACCCATGATTATACTATTGGCTAGGCTAATGACGAAACCAACATTCTTAACATAAGTACTACGCATAAAAATAATCATGATAATACACTTAGACTTGCAGTAGCAACAATAATATGACATGAGCAATAAATCTTGGACTAAATTAATGTAAGTATACAACAAACTAATTTACTTGCTTTTGGAGTATTAATAAGTCAACAAGGCCATGAAATTTATCTTATAAAAGTAAGTGTCTAGTAACCACGCATAAACAAAAATGGCAGCACACATTAACATCAAAGTTCATCCATTATTCATGCTCACCGAAACAAAACGAGAACAAGTCACAGGTTTTCAACTAAAATTTCATTTGTGATTGAATATGATCGAACAATAATATATACATATAATCATGATAATAAAGAAGAAAATACATGATCTACAACTGCTATAACTCACGCGAATCACTCCATCAAAACAGACTACAAGTTTAATCGAAACCGCAACCGAAAATTCAAACAAACTAATCCTAATTGCATCTAATCTTATCTTAACCCAACCATGATTTCTATAGTAAAGGAATAATGCTAGTTATTTCTTGAAGCGTGACCCAATTATAGACTAGAAAGAGGTGATTAAAGCCATGAATTCAGCCCCAAAGCCCACGCACCAGACACGTTCAAGCAGCCCCCCCAAAGTTCTTCGGTTTTGATACTTCGATCAAAAGAGGAGGATGTTGGGCACGAATTGGGGTAGGTTTAAGCAGAAAATTTAGGCTTTGATTTCCCCCCATTATTGGCCTTTGAAACTCATGAAAAAAAAACTAAGAGAGAAGAGAGTATGTGCCGCATTTCTTTGGTGAAGAAAACTGATGAGAGCTAGCCTTGATTTGTACGTTATAAGAGAAGGAGAAGGGGAGGAGCTGGGCAGCCATGATTAGGTGTTATTACCATTGATTAGAGGAGGTTACTTAGGGTAAAATGATCAGCCATCAATCCCTCAAAGCTGCTGTGTAAATCAGCCTAAATTGGGCTTAAATGAAGCGCATAAACAAGCCCCATAATACCTAGGTTCAAGGCTTTTCTTTAGGGCTTGATTAAATGATTACATTAGCTTAAGAATGGGTTTAAGAAATATAATAAACAAGTCTATCTTAATATAATTAGTCATGAAAGATTTGAGGAAAAACCCGACCCTTAGATAAATGCTAGTTAGGCCAAAACTAGACTAGGAAAGGAATGTAACGGGAGGCATTTTAAAACGCGTTCCAAAAACGATAATAATATAGATTGTATAATTGATATCTCAATAATAATATTAATAATAATAATGAAAATAATAATTTAAATTACAATACGGAAATATATATAAAGTTCATATGTACCGAAAAGCGATATAAAAGACGAAAAGCGAAACCAGTAATATTATTCATTTATAATGACCTAATTAATAAAAGGACATTATAATGAGTTTTATAAATAAAAGAATTAAAGAACACATTATAAACAACACCAATACAACTTTATTTACCGATATTGATACGATAGCACGTAAAACGTTTTTAAAACTCCAAAAAATCATTTTCATACCTATTAGATTGGTACTTCAGTCAAGGAATCACCCATGATGACCCGTATCAATCGCAATAGGTTAAATATCAAAATTATATATAATTTAGCAACACTTACTGAATTAATGTTTAAGCTTAAGGTATCACCCTTTTAGGCTAATATCAATTCAGACAAGTAAAGTACAGTTGAAATGGTTAAAACTTAAACATAAACCTTTTAAATAACTTTCAACCGTTTCGTTAAAATATTTTTATAAGGATTTCAATTTAGAAATTTATATTTAAATTAGAAATTAGGATTTATAGGTTGAAACACACATAAAATAATGGTTCGAAAATACGGGGTGTTACAACCCCAAACAAATTAGGGAGGGGCCTATTGTCACAAAATGCGCATCGAGGGCCAACAACTGTCCTCACAAACCAACACAAGTCCTTTCGGCGCATGTGTCCTCACAAACCAGCACAAGTCCTCACTCATGCACACCCCGAGAAAACTTCCTAGGAGGTCACCCATCCCAAGACTACTCCCAGCCAGGCACGCTTAACTATGGAGTATTCTTAGTGTATGAGCTCCCTAAAAGGAAAATGCACCTTATTGATATGAGTAGTATATCAAATCCTTTTAAAGCAATCATGAGGGGTATTACACCCTCTTTCAACGTTCTTCTTCTGTAAAAAAAAAAAAAAAAAAAAAAAGAAAAAAAAAAAAAAAAAAGACTCGACCTTCTCCCATATCCCGTAGCCTCAACCTGCCTCACTCTCCACCACCTCACTCTCCAAGAGCATCACCGACCATCTCCTCTGCCCTCACTCTCTACAAACGGCCGCCGCCGGTGCTATGCCTCACCAGCGAAGTGTAGGACGTACAAAACCCTAAATGAAGTCGAACTCTAAATTCGTCGAGTATAATTTCACAATCTAGGTATTTTTTTTTAAAATCGTCGAGTATCAATTTGTTTAAGTATTCATCGAACGTCAACTTCACAATTTGGGTTATTTTTTTTCGTGAATTGGGTTTCTACTCTGTTCTAGGTTTTAATTTTATCAATTTGCTGCTTCTGGGTTGTTCGTATTTTTGGTGAATTTGCTGCTTCTAGGTTGTTTGGATTTGTGGTGAAATTTTATTTTAATTTCTGATTTTTATAGTTTTCAACTGAATATTATGCATTTATGCAATTATTGAGAATTAGAGTTAGCTCCCTTTCATAATTTTGGTCCATTTGCTTAATTTCTTGATGGGTATTTTTTTGTATCTGTAAATCGTCATTGTTCTCCGGATATTGGCCATAAATTTGGATTTATTTGTTGATTGGTAAGAAAAAAAAAAAGCAACTTAGCCTTTGGTTTGATTGGTATGAACTAGAAAGTTTCCTTGGGGTTTTTCTAAAAAAGATTAGAAGGAAATGAAAGGATTGTATGTCATAAACATTCTTTCTATCCAAATCTCTGATTTGAGGGTAAAATCGTAAAATAGTGAGATATATAACTGAGTCTATACTGCCACTCCAATGTTATTCTTTTCCATCCATTTCCTTTCTACCAAATTAGCAGTTTCTGCTTTAAACAAATTACCTGTGATTTCTTCTATTTTTTCCTGTATGGATCTTACTTTTAAGATGCAAGTTCCATTTTATGCTAGAATCTGCTCTCATAGTTGACTTAGCAAGATAGTTACTAAATTATTCAAAGTTCTTTGTCTTCTAGAACATGGAGCATATGTGCATCGATGAATTCTCAGTTCTGATTGTTGGGGTTTGGTGAGTCCGACTCACCGCGGAAACAAACCCAAAAACAAGACCGCACTCGCAATAAATAAAACCATAAACATAATTAAATTAATCACAAGATTAAGATAAGCTAATTACCTTTGACGCGTACTTCGCTCTAAAATGAGCTCTTACTTGAAAGCTTCAAGTCCCGCTCACACGGAGACCTCCAACGAAGTCCACCCGCACCAACAAAACGGACTAGGTCCAATGTCTTGGGGTTAGCAAGACCCGACCAATAAAACCCGAGTAATTATATTGAGTTTAAAGGTTTTCACTAATTGTGATGCCTTTTTCAACTCTTACTCAAGCAACATTCCCAATTCCCATACTTGGGTATTTATAGGAAATGATGGGAGTATCATTTACTCTCCCATCAATGTGGGATAGTATGATTTTTTCCATTTTATTTTAAAGCTAAAATAAAATTAATAATCAAGCTAGTAATAAATCATCAAGTGGCAAGCTCATGTGAGTGGTTAGGTGAGGACCACTTGGAGAAGGGGGGGACCAAACTTGCTCCCCACTCCCACTCCCTCTCCCATAACCGGCCACCTCACTCCACACACACTCAAGGACCACAAGCCACATGGCACCCACCCTTGGGCACCAAGGCAGCCAAGGTGGGCTGCCATGTGCTGCTGTTCGTGGCAGCCACGCTCAGCAAGCCCAGCAGGCCCAGCACTCGCATGCGGGCTGCCAGGCGCTGCTGGCTAGCAAGCCCAACATGCTTGTGCGGGCTGCTGCTGGCCTTGTGCCTTGGCCAGCGCTGCTAGGCAGCAAGCAATGGCCTAGCCATGCTGCTGCTAGCTGTGGCGAGCTGGCGCGCCTAGCGTGCTAGCTGCTGCAGCTTGTTGCGGCATGGCTTGCTAACCATTGCGCGCACAAGGCTGTGCCTAGTGATTAGGGGATTTTTCCCCACCAATCACCATCTGACAAGTGGACCAATCAGGTTCCGCCACGTGTCCGTCACATGGGCCAATAGGAGCCTGCCACGTGTCAAGCAATGATCCGTCCACTATGGACCAATTACGACACGACACGTGTCCTTCCCATGACACCTGGGATAACCGGTCACCTAGGACCAACTTCCGAGGGTAGCCCAATCAGCCCAAGGTTAACCTAAACCTAGATTGGCACGTTTCCCGAGGTTATAAATACCTCCCTTAATCCTCATTAAGGGGGATTACGAAAAGAACGCAGATTACACACATTAAACTCTCTCTCCTAGAGAGACCCAATCACTTTAATTTCCGCATTAATTACTCCTTAATCAAGTACTAACTTGACCGTCGGAGGCGGATCTCCAATAATCCGGAGCATCCGTTTGTTTTGCAGGTACAGGCGTCCGGTTCCAGTCTCGGAATTGTAACTCTCCCGCAGGACATCAGAAAACCCCGAAACATCTTGGCGCTGTCTGTGGGGAGAGTACTTCTGAGATGGCATCAACGTTTGTACCGGCTCCTGAAGAGAGGCGTCCCCTAGACGACCCTCAAGTTCAGTCGGACCACGATACTGAGAATGAATTTGAAGTTGAAGCTCACACAGCTTCAGACGGGACCCTAAGGTCCCGACGTACCCGTCATACCGAAAGGAGGGAACGGGAACATCTTCAAACTGGAAGCGAGCCAGCAGACGCACCGCCTGTTCGGCAGCAGCCGACTGATGGGTCTGCTCCCATCACAAGGAACGAACTCATGACCTTCATGAGGGACTTCAAGGGAGAAATTCAAGAGTTGATCAACAAGAAGCCGCCTGCTCTGGACAAGGAGCAGTCGGCTAAGAAACCCTCCACTTCACAGAAGAGGAAGCCAGTTCAAGGGCGAGAGGCGACCCCTCATCCTAAATCTAGGAAGCGGGAGCCACCTGCCCTTGATTTCACAAAATACCGTTTTCCTACTCCAGGAAATAGGAAACCTGTTCGTCATATTTAGGCGGACGGGTCGAGGAAAACATACACAGACGCTCGGCTACTGCTAGAGCAGAAGAACAGTGACTGATTGTCAGAGTCGGCCTCTACTTCAAACTTCCAAGACAGTCTGCGAAATACCTCGATGAGGCATACTCAGTCGTATCATGAGAGTCAGTCAGGCGGCACCTCCCGTCAGTCCGGCTATCATAGCGACCAGGCGGTACCAAACTTACCGTTTGTACCGCAACAACAATATTTTTTACAGCCACCTCCATTTGGTGGACATGCAGCAAAAAACGTCCAACCTATGGACTGGCAGCTACGGTCGTTTAGACTTGGCGAACAGCCGTCGGCCTTCTCCAAGGAAATTACTGAAGCCGCTCAGCCGGCCAAAGTGAAAAATGTATTAGTAGGCGTCTATGACGGCACTACTAACCCAGAAGACCATCTGATGGCATTCACCAACCTGATGTACCTTCAAGGGTTGGATGATCCCACTTGGTGCAAGTGTTTTCCAGCGACTCTCAAAGGAATCGCACAACAATGGTTCGGCAACCTGCCGACTGGTTGTGTAAATAACTTCAAGACGCTTGCTTACTTATTCACCTCCAACTTCGCCATGAACATCCCTGCGAAGAAGACGACCCTTGATTTAGGAACAGTTCAGCAGGGCGAGAAGGAGGGGCTTCGTTCTTACATCAGGCGGTTTAACCTGATGAGAATACAGATTCAAGGGTTACCGGATGAAGTAGCCTACACTGACTTTTTCAGAGGTCTCAAAGACGGGTCGACCTTCAAATTTGATTTGGTCCGAAAGAGGGTGGCGACTCTTCAAGAGGCCTTGATTGAAGCGGAAGCTTATATACAGGCGACTGATCTTTGTAGTACGGTAAAACAGTCAGACGGGAGAAGGTCCGACAAAAGAGAAGGACGACAGAAACAGTCGTCAAACAAAGACGAGAAGAGAAAAGAGGTCTGGGCGGCTGATTCCTCTAAACAGCCGGCCCAGAAAAAGAAAAAAGAATTCAAACCATACTCCCCAAAGTATGCGTTTAACAAGGATAGCCAATTTATCCTAAAGGAAATCAAGGGACGGATCTCAATTGAGAAGCCGGTCCCCATGAAGGGTTCTGCAAACAACTGGAACCAAGAAAAATTCTGTGATTATCATGAAGATGTTGGTCATCACACCAATGAATGCATCGGTCTCATGCGGTATCTGGACCGCCTGGCTGAGCAAGGTGATCTTGACACTTATGTCAAGAAATCTACGGGGAACACTTCCTCGAAAAAGCAGTCGGCCAAAAAGAATCAACAGGCCGACAGTTCCGATACAAATGATGCAGTCGTCTACACAATTGCAGGCGGCTTCTCAGGAGGCGGCCCCACTATTAGGGGCAACAAGGACAATATCAGACGGTTAGATGTAAATTCCGTTCACCAAGAACGGCCCTCCAAATATTCATTTCCTGAGATTTTCATCACTGAAGAAGATCTAGGAGGGGTAAGAGGGCCGCATGACGACCCTATCGTTATTGAATGTAAAGTGGCCAACCAGAGAGTTGGCCGAATCCTCATAGATACCGGAAGCTCCTTAGATCTCATCAGTAGCAAATGTCTGTCGAAACTAAAATATCAGACTAATTGCATACATCCGGCATCCCACCCTTTAGTAGGGTTTGGAGGAGGAACCGTCCATCCAATTGGACGAGTGGATTTACCCATCTGCCTGGGTGAAAAAGGGGAAGGACGACACATGGTAGTCCGGTTCCTGGTAGTAGAAGAACTCTCGGCCTACAACATGATTCTGGGACGACCAACCCTGAATAATTCCAAGGCTGTTATAATCCCATCTCTTATGTTGCTCAAGTTTGAGAGGGATAATGGAACAGTCGGGTCCCTAAGGGGAAATCAGAGGATGGCCCGAGAGTGCTATCTCTCGGATGTCAAGCCCACTGTTATGGCCACTATGTCGAGCGGCGGAAAAATAGACCTTGACAATGTTAAGGAGAGTGCGCCTGTTCAAGAAGCAGGCGGCAAGAAGAGAAAGGCATCCCACACAGGGGCCGCAAGAAAAGACAGAAAATAGCAATCATTGGCAGAGGAGCGGTCGGATGAATTCCCCCGTTAGCCAGCTGGTGAGCATACGGACCTGATGTTAGATGACTCGCGTCCTGACAGAACAATCAAGGTTGGGACGACTGCTCTAAGGGACCTGGGTGACGACTTTCACAAACTATTGAA